AGATTTAAAATTATGTCCCTTTATGGCTTTGCACTATTTTTTGTAGTAGTTAAATCATATGTTACTCCTTGTTTACAACAGTGCGACAAAACTGACATCAATTACACGGTAGATGATATATATGTAATACAAGCAAGTGGAAAAATGTTTTAGACGTACAGGTGTGAGATAAAATGAAGGAATAGAGTTGATCTTTGATGCCATTGCACAATAAGTATGTCTCATTCAGAAACAACGGCAGTTTCTCAGAAAACTATGGAAAACTATATATGTGCAGTATTTGCTTTTCTCAGACTACCAAAGAATCAGCAGTAATCTGAAAGCTTTGAAAACTTTCCCAGTCAAAAAAACCCTTCAAAAACCCCAAACTCACTATTTTTACTATATACCTATATATATATATAGAGATGCAGACACATAACACACAAAGAAAAGCATCAAAGGCTACTGAATGGCACTTCAAAAATTCATTTCAGAATGTTAATAAGGGGAAATAAAGACCTTTATTTGTCACAAATCCCTTAAAATAAGAGTATAACTGGAAGTCCTGAAAAACAATTAACAGCAGAATTGATCATAAAAACTACTGGGATATGTGGTAATGAATATGAGCATATCCTTAATGTATAATGAACATTTTGGAATTCTTTTCTTCACAGGTGTCTTAAGAGAAAAATGACAAAAGGGAAGAATTCTACTAATAGTCATGAGAAAAATAAAAAAACGCCCTGCTTTTAGAAGAAATATAACAAAACCAGAATAGAATGGAAGACAAATTAAGCAATAATTACTCTTCCAGATATGGGTGTGGATGGTCGTGGGGTTTTTTGTTGGTTTGGGGTTTTTTTTTTTCCTTCCTCTACTTTTTTCCTCGGTATTGGAGGAGTAGTGATAGCAACTATTATAAGTGAAAGGTCTTTATTTCTTCTGACAGAGACCAGCTCTGTGGATGTCTGAAATAGATTAGATTGGGAAAATAAAGCAAAGAAAAAAACTTCTGGAAAATAGTAGTAAGTCTCTGACTTTATTGCAACTTGGGGAGTTTATTCAGCTGCATAAATTATGGAAATTTCAGTAATGTTCTCAAAGGTTCTCTTAACAGGAACTACGTATACCATTATATACACTTTCAGTAGCAAACATACTGAACTGCTTATCACACGGACCTACATGGCAGATGGTATTTTGAAAATGAAACAAATAGGGCTGAACCCATTGGTTTGTTTTGGGGGTTTTGTTGTTGTTGTTTGGGGGGGGTGTCTTTTGAATTTTTTTTATGTGTCTCAGTCAGATGAAGCTTCCCCTGGGAAGAAGAGTGAAAACTGGAGACAAATCCTGCAAATCCCAAATGGTTTTTATTTGTTTTTAAAACTGAGATGAAAAATGTGTCACAAGTCTGACATAGCCTGGTTTTAAGTGGTATTTAATTCCTTTACACTGTCACAATAAGTTGATTTAGAAATCTGTTGATAGAACTACAGTTTTATAATAGTTTTCATACATTTAGATTTCTTTATTTTTCAGTTTAGAAACCTTACACAGGGGTAGAATTAGGCTCCAGTATTTAAAAAATATACACTTCTTTACTAGTTCACAATTAGTCATGCGATATAGTTAGTGCTCCAAAGATGTAACTGTTATACAGTGGGAGGAAACAATCAATGCAGAGGAATTTGAAATAATAGAATCATAGAACAGCCCAAGTTGGAAGGGACCTTGAAAGATCATCTGGTCCAACCTTTGATGGGAAAGGGAGCTGAGATGGGATTATCTAGTACCCTGTCCAGTCACATCTTGAAAACTTCCAGTGATAGGGACTCCATCACATCCCTGGGGAAGCTGTTCCAGTGAATGTTTGTTCTTACTGTAAAAAAAATTCTTTCTTATGTCGAGATGAATCCTCTCCCAGTGCAACTTGTACCCATTGACCCGTGTCTTCTCCATGTGACTCCTTGTGAAGAGAGAGCCTCTTTGTAGCTGCCCTTTAAGTACTGGAATACTATGATGAGATCGCCTCTGAGCCTTCTCTTGTTCAGGAACTAACCTTCAGCCTTTCTTCACAGGGCAGGTTCTCCAGCCCTTTGATTATCTTCATAGCCCTCCTTTGGACCCTTTCCAGTCTGTCCGCATCTTTCTTCAGTGGTGGCGACAAGAATGGACACAGTACTCCAGGTGCAGCCTGACAAGCATTGAGTAGATTGGGATGATCACATCTCTATCTCTGCTAGTAATGTTCTGCAGATGCAGCCCAGGATCCAATTTGCCTTTGTTGCTGCAGCATCGCCCTGCTGACTCATGTTCAGCTTGCTGTCCACCAGAACTCCCAGGTCCCTTTCAGCAAAGCAGATCTTAGCCTGTACTGAGCTCTTTGGGTATTCCTTCCGTCCTTGCACTTGTCTTTGTTAAACTTCATACAGTTCTTGCTAGCCCGCTCTTCCAGCCTGTCCAGGCTTCTCTGTAAGATGGCTCTCCCTTCCAGTGTGTTCACCTCACCACCCAGTCTGGTGCCATCAGCAAACTTGGTGAGGGTACTTTCCAACCTATCATCCAGATAATTTATGAAGATGTTGAACAGCCTGAGGCCCCATATCAATCCCTGGGGAATCCCACTTGTGACAGGCTGCCAGTCTGGGTAAAAACAGCTGATCACCACCCTCTGAGTGTGGCCTGTTAGCCAATTCCCTACCCATCTCACTGACCACCCACCCAATCTGTACCTTACCAGTTTGTTCAGAAGGCGGCTGTGGAACACAGTGTCAAGTGCTTTACTTAAGTCCAAGTAAACAACATCCACTGCTCTCCCCTTGTCAACAGCAGATGCCAAAGAAAGTCAAAAGAAAAGAAGAAAGAAGAAAAGAACTGAAAAGTCAAAAGAAGTCAAAACTTGGGTCTGAGAGGTTTATGACAATGAGAGGAAATAGGATGAGAGGATGGGTTTTTTAAGTGATTTTAAATTTTCTCAAGCTAAACGGAGATATTAATGCAAGACTTACAGGTGATTTACAGTGAATTTTCACATGTTGCAGTTGTGTGGTTTTTGTAATGTCCACGCATAGTTGCAGAAACTGCAGTGTGATCTTAGTTACCTGATGTGTTGAATTTAGTTTTATTCCCTATGCACAAGAAACAGAGCTTGACCTTTCTGGTGATGGATTCTGCTTCCACTCTGCTACCATAAAGCAACACTAAAATCTTAATTAAGAACCAGGCCAAATATTGTAATTAAATGCAATTAGAAAATTGTTTCCTTGAACATGGTCTGAATCACTGCAAACTGTCTGACTGCACTTCTGATAGAAACTGATCTTTTCCAGCTCAGTTTTTACTCCTCATCCAGTTAGTGCTGTTTATCATCACAAATGTGATAAGATAGGGAAATTGGGCCCTTTATGGCATGTTCAAGAAAGTCTACTACATACTGAATAGATTATGACTTTTCTGGAGAATCAAGAAGTACTCTGACAGAAATTTTATAAACATGTATTATGCCATCTTATCCCAGAAGACATAAAACAAATTTCAGGTATGCCTG